GGAAGGAAGGAAGGAAGGAAGGAAGGAAGGAAGGAAGGAAGGAAAGAAGGAAGGAAGGAAGGAAGGAAGGAATTAAAAATTTTAAAAAGCCAAAAGAGCAGAACCAAACATGGCAGGGATGTTGGAATTACCAGACTGGGAATTTAAAACAACTATGATTAATATGCTAAGGGCTCTCTCTAATAGATAAAGTAGACAGTATGCATGCAAGAATAGATAGGCAATGTAAGCAGAGAGATGGAAATACTAATTAAGAACTAAAAACAAATGCTAGAGATAAAACACTATAACTGAAATGAAGAATGCCTTTGATGAACTTATTAGTGGACTGGACACAGATAAGGAAAGAATCTGTGAGCTGGGGTATATATCAAGAAAATCCTCGAAAACCAGAAAGGAGAGAACAAAGACAAAAAACAGAACAGGATATCCATGGACTGTGGGACATACACATGATGGGAATACAAGAAGAAGAAAGAGGAAAAGGAACAGAAGAACTATCTGAAACAATAATGACTGAGAATTTCTCCAAATTAACGTCAGACATCAAACCACAGATGCAGGAAGCTCAGGGAACACGAAATGGGATAAATGCCAGAAAAACTACGGCTAAGAATATCATCTTCAAGCTAGAGAAAATTAAAGATAAAAAAAAATCCAGAAAGAGGGGACCTTACCTAGAGAGAAACAAAGATAAGAATTACATCTAACTTGTTCTCAGAAAATAAAAAAAATGCTATCAAGAAGAGAGTCATCAAATATTTAAAGTGTAGAGAGAAAAAAAACCCACTGACCTAGAATTCTGCACCCTGCAAAATTATCCTTCAAAAGTAAAGAAATACTTTTTCAGATAACCAAAAAAAATTAAAGAAATGTGTTGCCACAAAACCAGCCTCACAAAAAAATGTTAAAAATTTTTTGAAGAGAAGGAAAATAATGCAGGTCAGAAACTCCAATCTCTATAAAGAAAGGAAAAGAATCAAAAAAGGGATAAATGAATAAAACTCAATAAAAATAAAAACTTTATTTCTCATATTCTGAACTTATATGGCAGACGAGTTTGTTCAAATAGCAACAATGTATTAGATTATATATGTTTATATCATATATATATTTATGCATGCTAACATACTGAAATGAATGACAGCAATGATACAAGGGGATGGGAGGGAGGAATTAGGAATATTTCCTTACTATTAAGGTATTCGCACTACACATGAAGTGGTATAGTCTTATTTGAAAGTAGACCTGAATTAGTTGTAAATGTATATGCAAACTCTAGGGC